CCCCACCCTTTCCAAACCCCCAAAGTAAGTCACTCTTACTTTGCTACACAGAAGTATGTCAATTGCTATCCCAAGAGTTTTTCTTGCTCTACTGCTTTTGATGTTTATTACAAAAAATTCAGGTAAACTCCAATTTATTTGCATTCAGAAGATTAAGTTTTAGATTTAGTATCCTTTGATAATCTCATTTTGTTTTCTTAAGTGTGTATCGGTCAAGTTGTCTTCGTGTGACCTATAGGTCATAAGTTCGAGCCGTGGAATCAGCCACTGATGCTTGCGTCAGGATAGGCAGCCTACATTACAACCTTTGGGTACGGCCCTTCCGCCGATCATGCGTGAACGCGGGATACTTTGTGTACCGGGCTGCCCTAAGTTGAGGGTTTATCGGAAACAACCCTCTCTATCTCACCTGTGATATCACACTGGGCATGCTATTGTTTGCTATTGTTGTTAGTCTCACTTTATTTTCGCCTTTTCTTTTGGTGTTCTCAAATATGGATGCAATAGTGAATGGGCAGCTAGAAGAATGGTGTGTAGCAGATGAGCAAACACCAGACAATGAGTTGCAGGTGGCATTAGATTGGGCATGTGGAAAAGGGGGTGCAGATTGTAGCAGGATTCAAAAGGACAAAGTTTGCTATTACCCGAACACTGTAAAAGACCATGCTTCTTATGCCTTTAATAATTACTTTCAGAAGTATAAGAAGAAAGGTGGAAGTTGTTTCTTCAATAATGCTGCCATGATTACTCAAGTTGATCCTAGTAAGTATCTTAGTCCTTATTCTGTTTTCATTCCTTTTCTGCAAACCTATACAATATGCATAGCATCTTTTGCAGAGTTGCCTCTATAAATTTAAAACAGTATATCTAAGAGGAATGCTTAGTTCAGTATCCAAATGCACCAATGACATATAGAATAAAGTGAAAAAACAGAACCTAAAAGGAAACACCTATCTTGTGTCCAAAGGAATGTCTAGGTCATGCTATCACATGAAAGTGTATCCAAAAGAAGAAAAGTCGGGAACCTTAGTAGCTTAGTTGGTTTGTCATATGAGCTTTCACCTTGTTGGCGAGTAGTTCGTTTCTCCGCCTTCTAATCTCCTCTCCCATTTCCCCTTCCCCTGTGTATAAAAGGTAGCCCGATACACTAAGCTCCTGTTATGTGCGGGGTCCCGAGAAGGGCCGGACCATAAGGGTCTATTGTATGCAGTTTTACTCTGTATTTATGCAAGACGTTGTTTCCCCTATGTATAATTAAAGAAAATAAACCAAAAAAAAAAAAGGACTCCAAGTCTCCAACCATGTTGAAGTATAAAGAGAAAAAGAGAACATGAGCCCATGTGAAACCCTTTAAGCTAAGCTCAGCATGGATCTGTATCATCTTATATACTGTCATGTGCTATTAGGTAACTTTACTTTTATTAGTAATTGCTTTTTCTTTTTATTTTTTTGACTAATTCTATACTTGGTATAAAACCACATCAGCTAACTTTTACATTATGTTTGGTTACAGGTTATAATTCTTGCCACTACGGGTACATGCCCTAGTGCTTATTGCTTTTCAATCTGTTAATGCCAAGTTTAGGTTTCATCATTTAAGCCAAGAAAGATAGTCCAGGACATTAAACAACTGACTATGTTCTGGATTTGAGTAATTGGAATTCAATATGTTGTAGCCATTTTTGCAACTGAAAGTTTGAGATATCAGCTGCTTGTCATGCAATAGTGACATGCATTAATTTATCTATATTTTGTGCTTCTTTACTCATACAATGCAATTTCAGCTTGTCCTTGTAAACAAACTAAAATTCATATTAAAAAAAATACGAGTTAAATGAACTCAACTGTCATACCTCGGCTTAATTGACCAGGGTGACTCCACTTGCTATACAGATAAAACTCAGGCTCATGCACCATTGTAAATCAATATCAAAGCTCAAAATTATTGTTAACTTCGTATTCAAATCAATTTTGGCACGTATACATGAGGAGAGAATAGTCTATATGAAGCATACAGTATATTGAACTTAACATCTGTCTTACACATTCAAGAACTGTCAAATGATGCTTACAGGAAATTTCCACCAGTTTCATTCCTATTTACCGAAAGTGAAACAGGGAAGTGTCACGAGCAAGTCTGATTCACCAAGCACTCATTAAATCTGCAGTATCAATCAAGTTTAGCAACTTCAAGTTCGATGTGGAAAGTCTGGACATTCATTCTCCTAAAACAATAAACTTGCCCAAGCAGCAATAAATGCAAAGCCACCGAAGGGAGCTAAGGTTGAGTATTTCCTGTCTTCCAGAAGTGCAACTGCATAGCACCTGCAGACCAACCAGCATTTTAGTTTTGACCACCAAATGTTGAAAGTTTGTTTAAGATCACATATGATCTAAATACCTCATACACAAGTAAATACATACTACAATATTTCAACATTCAAGTACCAAAAAAATAAATCTCATGAATAAAAATGGTGGATATGATCATTCAGGCACCATCAGTAGACGATGAACATTATGTTTTCATGTACATTTCTACAAACCAAGTATTGCTAATTAACAGCAAACACCAAAGGGTGCCAATTATGAGAGATCATTCAATCAACTATTCCTTAAACTCCAAACTAGTTGTGTTTGCTATTAGATGGGAGACAGAAAAATAGAACAAAAACGAACTAATTATAGAAATATCTCCCTCTATCTATAAGGTTCACAAATTATTTGATGTCTCTTTGTATATGTTGTACTGAAGGAGGATGACTCAATGATTATTCGTTCGTCGGAACCAAAAGTAAAAAATTAATCCTTTGTATTCATACGGGCAGAGTTCATTCTGAAACTAAATAATTTTTCTTTTAAAACAAATTTTCTTTGAGACTAGAAATCTCTAAACCTCACACTTATCATACACGGGCATACAATCTCTCCTAAATAAGAAGATTCTAACTAAGATAATTATACTCTATCATTCCGTCTTCTATGACATTATTGTTACCATTTAGAGTCATATAAGTTTTCCTTTGACCAAGATTTGCTTAAACATTTTCAGAATACTTTAAATTTTTTAAAACTATGATCTATGATCTAATATTTCTTACTATATAGTTTTGAATTTTTTTCTTAAAACTCCATACCTTGTCCGAATTTAACCAGAGATTAGACAATTTGACTTTCATATGCCAAACCACCCTTCATTTGGTTAGGCGAGAGTACTTCAATTTGCATAACACTGCAAATTTCAGGGTGAATTTATTTAACTAGACATACACTCTATTTAATGTCAATCATCTTACAAATTCAGGGGAGCCTTGGCGTAACTAGTAAAATTGTTGTCATGTGACCAGGTAGCCTCTTACAGAAATGCAGAGTAAGGCTGCGTACAATAGACCCTTGTGATAGCGGGAGCTTACTGCACCGGGCTGCTATCTTACAAATTCGCATATAGATTTATTCACAGAGACTCTCACCGAGATAAAACCTAGAAAAAGATCCTTTTGGCATTCATATTGTAGAAGTTGGACAATGTGACAAAATCAAACCACTGAACTAGAAGTACTTACGTTCCAGAGAAAGCGATAATTCCACCAGTTAGCAGTCCTCCAAACTACAACCAAAAAAGGAAAGAGGGAAAAAAGCCCAGATTATATCCATAACCCAGCAAAGTTGAAGGCTTTAAATAGGTCACAAAGATAAATATACAGTTAGGGAACTCACAATGTTTGGATGTTTAGTGATAGGAGCAGAAACAAGGGCAGCAGTGTGAACCAAATGGTACAGTGATGCAGTATGCCACACCTTTAATTACCAATTGCAACAAAATAATCCAAAAATTAGAACTTTTTTTTTCTTTCTGATTACTCTTTACCCTACACTAAATGATGGAAAAAAGAATTTTCACCCAAAAAAATTGGGAAAAAAGAGAGTAAAAGAAAACAAGAACCTCTTTGTAAGTGGGATTTTTGGGCTTGAATACATGAGCTCCATAAGTTCCTAACCCAAGAGCAGCTACACCTGTTACCAAAGTTAAAGATTCGTTAAACCCAGAAAGGATTTTTCAAAAACAAATGGAATTGATATGGTGGAGTATCCAAAAAGAAGTAATTTACCAGAAATAGCAGCAACTTTGTGCCAGATTTGAGGATTCATTTTTGTTTTTCTTTTTTTTTGTCACACCAACTGGTTTTGATCTTCTCAAGTTTGGTAGTCGTAGCATAAAGTCGTTGCCTCTATTGATTCCTTAATTCACATACCACATCACAAGCCCCATTTTTACGAAGGTGTAACCTTTACAGGTAATCAGCAGTAAAATAAACCTATTTGACTATTTTCTAAATAAGTAATTGTAAGAAAAAAATTATAGTACCTGTTATAAATATTTATATTATGGATGTTCATTTAGTACTCCGTTGTAAATAATCTTCCTGAAGAAGCTTATCCATATGGGACTCTACCGTAAATATGTTTATCTATTTAGTACTCTATTGGAAATAAGCTTCCTGAAAAAACTTATCACTTCGGTACCCGGTTATGGATAAACATTACCCTAGGTAGAAGATTATCCATACCGGGTATAATAAGCTTATCCATTCAGTACTCCGTTATGGATAAACATTGCTCTCAGTAGAAGATTATCCATATCTGGTATAGTAGCAGCTTACACAGCAGCTTGCAGTAGCAGCTTACACAGCAACTTGCAGTAGCAGCTTACACAGCAGCTTGTAGTAGCAGCTTACACAGCAGCTTG